AAGACAGACCGGGTGGATTGAAATAACAGAAATGTCTTTTCTCACAGTTCTGGAGGCGATGTCCAAGATCAGTGTGTCAGCAGGCTTGGCTTCTTCTGCGGCCTCTCATCAGCCCCTACCTGGCCATCTTTTCCCTCTGTTTTCACCCCCTGTTTTCACGTGGTCTTTCCTTTGCGCATGCCTGTGTCCTAATTTCCTCTTCTTACGAGGACGCCAGTCATAATTATTGAATTAGGAGCCACTTTAAATGACCTCATTTTAAGTTAATTGACCCTTTAAAGACCCTTTTGCCTTCTGCAACTGGCTCATTTCACTCAGCATGAAGTCATCCAGGTTCATCCATATGAACCTGGATTTGGTTGTTGCCTATGATAGGGTTTCCTTCTTTTAAAAGGCTGAGTAAGATGCCATTGTATGCATACGTTGGAGGAGGTCGTCAGGAGGATGTGACTGTCAGTTGACCCATGAACTGGCCCTGGGCAACTGGAGGCTTCTTACAGACCTCCCCAGTCCTTAGAATGGGGTTCTGCTTGCCTTGCCCGCTCTCAGAGGCTTCCCCTAGGATATGCCCTTGTGATAATGATGTGTTATTGAGACCATCTGGATAGTGTAGAGGACTGAACCCAGTTAAGCCTTATATTAAGGATTTTGTAGGTGGGTGAGGAAATTTACTTATCTTGCAGCCTCCCAAGACAAGCCTTGTGCATAAGTCCTGTGCCTGTTAAATCTGCCACCTACCATTCTGAAGTGGCCGGCCTCTTTTCCCCTCTCTCCCTGTCCTTCATTATGGGGGCCAGTTTCAGATTACACCTGGGAAGTTCCCAAGGAGCTTGCAAATCAACAATGTAAACTACATTTTCTTATCCATTCATCCATCAGCAGACACTTAGGTTGTTTCTGTATTTTGACTATTGTAAATAATGCTGCAATAAACATGACAATGCAGATATCTCTTTGAGATCCTGATGCCAAATTCTTTTTTTTTTTTTTAATGTTTTATTTACTTCTAGGAGAGAGAGAGACACACAGCGTGAGCAGGGGAGGGTCAGAGAGAGAGGGAGTCACAGACTGAAACAGGCCCCAGGCTCTGAGCTGGCAGTCAGCACAGAGCCCGACGCGGNGGGGAGGGTCAGAGAGAGAGGGAGTCACAGACTGAAACAGGCCCCAGGCTCTGAGCTGGCAGTCAGCACAGAGCCCGACGCGGGGCTCAAACCCACAAACCGCGAGATCATGACATAAGCGAAAGTCGGACGCTTAACCGGCTAAGCCACCCAGGTGCCCCCTTGATGCCAATTCTTTTGGGTATATAGTCTGAGGTAGGATTGCTGAATTATATGGTAGTTCTATTTTTAATTTTGTTGAGGAACTTCCATACTGTTTTCTATAACAGCTGTAACAGTTTTACATTCCCACCAACACCATTCAAGAATTCCAATTTCTCCACATCTTCACCAACACTTGTCTTTGGTATTTTTGTTTGTTTTTTGGTGTTTTTTGTTTTTGTTTTTGTTTTTTATGGTTTTTTTGGTTGTTTTTGTTTTTATTTGGTAATAGCCAACCTAACAGGTGGGAGGTGATATCTTAATATGATCCCATTATAGAAAGTATCTAAAATAGTCAAATTCATAGGAGCAAAGTAGAATGGTGGCTACCAGGGGCAGGAGGGAGGAGGAAATGGGGAGTTGTTGCTCAATGGGTATAAACTTTCAGTTATGCAAAAGATGAATAAATTCTAGAGATCTGCTGTACAACACAGTGTCTGTAGTTAACAATACTGTAACATACACTGGAAAACTTGTTAAGACGATAGACCTCCAGACTGTTATGCAAGAGTGTATTAAACATCTACATCATCAGTCCTGTGCTTTGGAAACTGTCATGACAGTCTTGCTGTTACCTAACTGACAGAGGCAGCACAATATCTTCATGATCTCATGATTAATGTCTTTTGTTAACTCTTATGAAAACTGTATAATAAAAATCACAAAAATGGTACTATTAACCCTATGTAACCATCTAGTTTTAGACTTTATCAACTCTTCGCTACATTTACTGCATCTATTTTTCCCCAAGGTTTTTTAAGAAGAGGCATTTTTTTTTGGAGAGCGAGAGAGAGAGCAGGAGCAGGGGAGAGGCAGAGAGAGAGGAAAGAGAGAAAGAGAGAGAGAGAGGGAGGGAGGGAGGGAGAGAGAGAGAGAATCCCAAGTAGGCTCCATGCCATGGTGGAGCCCGACATGGGACTTGATCTCACAACCCTGTGATCATGACCTGAGCCAAAATCAAGAGTCAGATGCTTAACTAAGCAGCCCATCGCCCCAAGAAGAAGCACGTTTTATCTTAACTCATCTGCTGTGCTGTTTGGCATTGTGCAAGTATTGGTTATCTTAAACTTTGATAAATGTGTGCTACATATGAACTTCTTGCATTGATGAGAATATCAGAAAAACATGTGCTGTTTTCTCCCCTATATGGTGACAAAGGTTGGAGAGAAGAGAAGAACCATAGAAGTGGAATGTAAGGTGAACTGAGAGCTTAGTGGGACCAGGGAGTCTGGGCAAGGAGTGAGCATAGCAATGGCTGCAGCTTGGGGTTTGCACAAATCTTGGGAAAGGCATCGAACTCTCCACAGTTAGGATAGACTCAAAGCCACTTCTGTTTAAACATTAAATATATAAGCAACTACACAGACTAAGGGACTTAGGGGCATCAAGATGACAGTCTGCATGTGGTTAGCATATATACTAATGAAGAAATGGATGACTGAATGGACCTAGTACTGTACTAGTGAGTACCATCCCAACTTCGGTAGTTAGGCCAGAGGGCCATCCCAGAACAAGAGAAAAACATAATAAGTGGCGAGGGCACACCTGTACAGCTCCTCTCAGTCTGCAGACCCATAATCTAGAAGTTTATCTGGTGCTCCTTCATCTGGGTCTGCACTGAAACTTCATCTGGCTTTGGCTTTGCAATCACTGACCCTTAGCTTCTCTCCCCACCTCTGTCACAGCTATGCGGTGGGAAGCTATCCAGGTGGCTGAACTTCCACCTGTTTGTAATGTTCAATTTTCCTTATCTGACCAATTTATGTCCCATTTGCGAGTAAATACATCCACCATAAACTCTCAGGAGCAATCCCATCAGATAATGAATATTTTTATTTCCTTTTAAAAAAATTTTAAATTGAAACAATTTTTTAATGTTTCTTTTTGAGAGAGAGACACACACAGCACAAGTTGGGGAGGGACAGAGAGAGAGAGGGGGACAGAATCTGAATCTGATCTGTCCACACAGAGCCTCACGTGGGGCTTGAACTCACAAACCATGAGATTATGACCTGAGCCGAAGTCGGACACTCAACTGAATAAACCACCCAGGTGCCTCATGAATATTTTTATTTCTGATCTTTACTGAACCAAAAATAATACATCAGGCTTCCTAATGTAAAGGTCAGGATGAAATACCCAGATAGAAGCACAAACTGTCCAAGAGGCAGGTGGGGCCCAGATACCAGGGATGGTGGTTTTTAAGCTGGGTTTTTTTTTTTTTTTCATGATTTTCAGGTTTTCCTACTTGGGGACTATAAGTCCCAGATGTGTGTTTTGTCTGCTTTTGAACCCCAAAACCGAATCCTCCTGCAGGAAACCTTAGTTTCTGAGTAGCCAGCCATTTGCACATGCATCTCAAGTCGAGAAGCCAAAGGCTGTGACAAGGTTTCCCAGCGTGTCTGGCTAAGCTGCCACAATTAAAATCCATGGGGGAAACGAGAAATTCCGGTGCTTATTATGTTGCCACAATGCCCATGAGTTGGGTTGGGGGACTGCATGAAAACAGAATATTTTTAGTTTGGCAGTAGTTTAGAGTGTCGTTTGGCAGGAAGTGTCTGAAATTCAGTTATTCAAATTCACTTCTTTTTAAGCCAGTCAGTAGAGCCCGTGTAGAGGATCAGATTGTACAGATGGAATTCTTGGCAAAATCTCTGGAAACTTCCAGGATTATCTGATTCTACCAAGGTCTGTGTCTTTCGCTGTCCTTGACAATTTTGCCAGTCTGTAGAAACTGAAGTTAACTTGTAAAAGGCTGACAATGATGCAAATAATTCCCATTCTTATAAATGTGGATGAATTTTGTCCAATGCGGATGCATCGGTTTCTACTTAGTGCAAGAGGCCAGTTTTGCCTCCATCAGCAAATTCAATTCAGGATTCCAGATTGCTGTAGATATGTTTTCCTTGGAGTCTCCTTAGCACAAGTTTTTATTTCTTACTAGTTTCCTCATTAAAGAGTGAGTAAAACAAAATCTTTGACATATATTCATTTTATATTTGTATGAATTACATTTTTAAAAATTACCTTTTAGCACCCTGGTTCTCCAGTAACTGAGTTCATCCCCAAAGGTGAGGTCGAAGAGCACGTGGGTGAATCAGTTGGTTAAGCCTCTGACTTCTGCTCAGGTCATGATCTCACAGTTAGTGAGTTTGAGTCCCACATAGGGCTGTCTGCTATCTGTGTGGAGCCTGCTTCGGATCCTCTGCCCCCCCCGTCCCTCCCCCATTTGCTTGCATTCTTTTTCTCTCTCTCAAAAAATAAATAAACTTAAAAAAAAACAAAAGTGGGGTTGACAAGGAGTGAGGGGAAGACCCTCAATTTCTGACTGAGCATTTACCCAGAAGTGACTAGTGGAATGAGCTACTCAGAAAACACAAGATAATGTTTACCCTTATTCCTGGATATAGAGGTTCTAGATTTGGGTTGATTTCAGCATAGAGTTATAAAAGCATTTTATGTTTGCACAGCCAAATTTGAGGACTGCTGTGATTCTCCTTTTTTTTTTTAAAAAAATCCTACCATTTTAACTTGTTCACTTATATAACCAAAAAAAAATGGTAATAACAGATGTGCTAGGCTTAAGAAGCAGGATGGAATCTTGAACACCATTGGATATCAGATGTCTGCTCTACCTCCATCTCTGCCCCCCTGTACCCACCCCCCCTTGCCCAGCACCTGTTCCCGTGTTAATTTCACTCTCCCAGGCTGGCTTCTCCACCAGTGGTGGTCGGGGTGCTAGTGTCTCAGCATCTCTTACTCATATCCTCTGTGGAAAAAAACAAGAGCACCATTAGCATAAGTCTTTTTTCAAAACTGTCGGCATGAGCAGGAGCGTTCTAACTTGAGAAGGAGGTGGAATCTTTTATAGGGCTTCAGCAGGCAGGGTCGGCTGAAGTTCAGCTAGTTTCAAGAATATTTGTTCAAGGGTGGTACTCAGGGGAGGGAGGAATTAGTCTGATTAATTAGCAGCCATGTTTGGATAATTTGAATTTTACTAAGAGAAGTGGAACGGTGAGGGGCTGAGGTCACGTGCAAGAGGGGGTGCAAGCTACAGTGGACAAGGACATGGAGGGCCACAGTGGAAACGTTATAGTTCTTCAGTGTCTCTTATACCTTACAGTCCTCAGACCAAAGAGACCACATGCAGTTGGCTAAATCCTAGGGAAGGATTTTGGTTGATCATGCTTATCTCTGGACCATTCACTGCACTCAGGGAGTCAGAGCCAAGAATGAAGAGGCTGTTCCTAGGCAGATCCAAAGGCTAGAGCAAGGGTGGCACAGCTCTTACAAGGAGGGAGTAGCCCAGACCTGGCCCATGGGGGCATCACAGTGAGTGGGACACACCTACCCTCATCCTCATTTGTGTTCACAAAACCCTCCTTTTCCTCCTTTCAGGTGAACAGCTCAATTTTGCCTTTAGGGAACACTGCTTTGGGGAGGACCACTCAGAAAACTTTTTGCCTAATGAGTGTGGAGAGCAAACCCAGCAGAGATGATAGCCTCTTCTGAGAGTAGCCCCAAGTGCAAAAGTCTGGACATGGCCCTCATGCCCAGAATTCTTCCACAATCCTTAGAACGGTCAAAATGATCACCATCATCGCTTAGGGAAGATAAACAAGTTTGGCTTGAATAAACATCCCAACACTGGCAGTGTTCCCTGACTATTCATTTTTTTCTCTCTCCCCTTTCAGGTATACTGTGTCCATAACCCCTTCTTTCCTATTATAGGGGCCAAGGGCAGACTGCCCCAAGATGGGCCACTTTGGCATAAAGATCATTTTGAGTTAAAAGTAATGAAAACCCAACAGATGCAGGGAAAGCTCTCTGCCTCCCCCGCAGCGGCCTAAATTTATATTGAAAAGGAGAGCCTGTACCAGGAAGAGAGCTATTAACAGAGACTCTCCTTTACCTAAGAAACTTATCTGCATAATGGAGCAAACTTGCTTTTCCAAACATCTTCCACCTTCCTGCTAATGGCTTTTCTCCCTTTTATATCCTCAGACCCTACCCCACATCTTTAGCTCATATAAGCTTCACGTTGCCTCATCGTCTTTGCAATTTCATGTTTGGGTGGTTTGCTTATACGTACTCCTATTAAATTTGCTTTTCTCCTGTTAATCTGTCTCATGTCAGTTTGATTCTAAGTCCGGCTGGGGCAGAGGAAGGCCTTCCCAACACTGTAAAAATAAGATAGATCTGCCCTATGAACATATTAAAACAATTAAGATTCAGGGGAAGGAAATATCTGTCCTTATCATTTATATTTTTCTGGAAGGACAAGTTGGTGACATATCATGGACTTCAAAGTCCAAATCCCCAGAATTTGAATCTTGACTTCCCACTTACTTGCTCCATGACTGTGGCAAATATTTAACCTCAATAAGTTCCAGTATTCTCATTTGGGAAATCGATAATAATGCCTACCTCAAAATTTAAAGGGATTGTGAATGTAAAGAATATATGCAGTATATTAAAATCTAATCACTATCATTTTTTTTTCTGGTGATGATGATGATTATAATTACAAAGGCTCTAAAACCTACTCATCTGTATGTTTTCATCTCCATTTACTATTTTTAAAATAGAATTTCAGGAATAGAAGGGAACTTGCAGATAACCTCAGCCAGTGGCCAAGCCTCTCTCAAGAGATCTCAGTTGCTCCAGGGCCAGGAAGGAGGGGAATAGGGTAAGGACTCATGGGTGGAGAAGAGTAAACCTCTGTCCTGCAGAGCGGGGGACAGGGACAGGACTCATGAGCCAGGGATAAAGGAATGCTCATTTTAGAGAGTTGGGTCCACGCTTGCTCTTGGTGTGTGTGTGTGTGTGTGTGTGTGTGTGTGTGTGTGTGTGTGTATGTGTGCGCCCACATGGCATATGTATCCATGTATGCCTGTGTGTCTGGATCTATATGTGTTTATAAGATGTGACAATTACATGGAATAGGATATCAAGAGATTGAGATTATCAACATTGACGCTGATTACAGATAATGGCAAATTAGCAGTATACAAAGGGGAAATGAAATTTGGCTTAGCGGTGTAAAAGTAATACTAATTACATTTACTTACATTAGCCCCTTACCATCTATGCCTAATTACCATGCAGCACAATCATAATCATGTGTGTCATTAAGTATATGCCCAGTTAACTTCCACGTAAGTTGTCTTGATTAGGATCAACATCTCTGTTCAACTTAGACACCTGTTCAGAGATATACTACCTAAGGTCTTTGCTACTTCTGGGGCTACCAAGAGGGACTTGACTCTAGAGTTCTAGAACTGCCTGCCAGGTTGTACTGACAGTTACTGTAGTTTGGGAAAGCAGTAGTCTCAATCATATCTGAATGCAGGAGGATGCACAAAGGATCTGAGGCTTTTTCCCTCTCCTTCTGCACCAGAAGGTCTCCAGAGGGCCCAAGGAGTTCATCTCCCACAGCTGAGAAACAGAGAGAGAAAGAGAGTACACACAGGAGATAGCAACAGAGAGATACAGAGATAAAGACATGCAGAGCAAGATACAAGGAGACAGTTGGAAAGAGGTGCAAGAGATTCAGAGATGCAGACAGAGAAGAAAGTAGATGGAAGTAGATATAAAAAGTGGGGGTAGAGGCACAGAGTCAGTTCAGTGAGGAGAGGGAATCCAGATGCAGGGCTGGTTGATTTTCTCTGATTATTTATGAGACAAAATAGCTCCCAGAAGCAGACCTAGACCATTAATTGGAGGAACCCTCATTGTCCTGGATGGTGAGGAGGCAGGAAGAAATGGGAGGTAGAGAGAAGAAAGATAGACAAAGCAACAGAAAAACAGAGAGATGGGGAAAGACAGACAGACATGGAGGGGTCAGGATAGGGGAAGAAGGGAGTGAGGGGGTTAGTGAGTCTTCTGGATGCTCTATCAGTACGAGGCTGTGGAAAGAGAGAAACAGGGGCATATATTCATGACCTCCTTGCAGTGATAAAATGTCCATGTCCTTAATGCACAGTGGCGATATGGTTCATTTTGGGGGTATCAACTATGCACCTGGAACCAGGCTAAATGCTTTTACCTTTATTGACTCATTGAATCCTCAAAATGACACTAGCTGGCAGGTACTATCATGATGCCCATATTATGGAAAAGGAAACTGAGGCATGTAACTTGCCCAAAGTCACCCAGGTAGTAAACAAGATTCAAATCCTGCCATCTGGCTGTAGATCCTGTGTTCTCAGCTGTGACATGTCACCAGCAAAGCCAGCAATAAATAGTAGGGGACCCATGATTTTAAAACATTTTTGCTTAATTATAATTAATTTTATGTTTTTTGAGGGGCGGAAGGGAGTAGAGGGAGAGAAAAATCTTAAGCAGGCTTCATACTCCATGCAGAGCCCAGTGTGGGGCTTGAACCCACAACCCTGGGATCATGACCTGAGCCAAAATTAAGAGTCAGGTGCTCAACTGACTGACTCACCCAGGTGTCCCAATTTTATTAAGTTAATATGCAAGTCAATCAACATTTCTAGAATATAACATTTCATTCGCACGAAGACTTCAATATCTTGTTAGCTCAGCAAGAGAAGCAGGGCCCGAACCCTAGTGTTGGGGCTGACAAAGAAATAGAAGCCTGTAGGGGTCTCATTACTTCATGACTTTCACACGGTGAGATAGACAGGCTGCAGCATCTCAGCTCCGTGGGTCGTACTTGCGCAGTGAGTGTGGCTTTTGCTGCTTTTCCACTGGGTGACCTTGAAGGGACTGGAATTCAGTTTCTCAGCGACTCCAGTTTTCCCTGTGGAAACTCATGCAAAATCTCTTCATCAGCTTTCTGATCTGGTAATAAATAATGATAATTTGTACAAGAACTCATTTGGTTATCATCCTTGGAGATTAATTGGGTAATTAATTTTAACCAAGTGCTTATGAAATCTAAAGTGCTTCATAAGTCTTAAGGATTTATGCTCCAGTGTTCTTATTAGGCCTGCAGGGCAGATCCTCTGCTTCGGAATGAGGAGCTGATTACGAATGTCCCTGAGTAGGACTGTTTCTTACTAGATTGCACCAACCCCCACTCAACAACTCCTCGGGAAGGCAGCTGATTGCCATTTCTCTACTTGCCAGACTGGAACTCTGAGCACTGAACTGCAAATTGGAAGGAATCGGAAAGAAAGAATTTGGCTTCCTGGTGACTCGGTGGCAGGTCACCTGTGCACCATATTGATTTTTCAGCAGCGGGGGAATCTTTTCCGGGAGAGGTGTGGTGCTTGTGTGAATGGCTTCCTATGTCCACGGAGCCCTTGCCACACCAAGCACCAGGAGATCCCGGCATAGGTGTAGCCTGTGCTTCCTTTCCATAGCTGCTGGCTTGTGAACATACTGACAACTAACGCCCACAAAAGACAAGAAGGTGATGGTATCAGTTAGTGACTGAACCATGAACTTGGGAGCCACACAGGCTGGGTTTGAATTTGGCGTAATTGTTCCCCATCTCCCACCATTACTTCCGTGCAGTTAACTCCTCAATTCAACTTATAGTGTTGTAAATGTGACTATGCTAGAACCTTTAGAGAACTTGGTGACTGTGGTAGACTGAGCCGAAAAGATCTGTCCACATTCGAATCCCCAGAACCTGTGACTATTATCTTAGATGGCAAAAAATATATGTGTGTTACCTGATAATGGCAAACGATGCGATTACGTTAAGGATTTTTCGAGAAGTTGTTAATCCAGGATTATCCACATGGGCTCTAAATAATCCAGTGACAAGTGTCCCTAGAAGAGTGAGGTAGAGGG